GAAGAACAAGAAAATATTACTATTTTGGGCTATAACATTCTTACTAATGGTCAACCGAAGAAAGATCTTTGGGCCACCACTATTAACAAGTTAAAAAAATCACTTGACAAGCTTTTAAACAGAAATCTTTCTTTTAAAGTGAAAATTTTAATTGCAAAATCACTTATTCTATCTAAAGTTTGGTACTTAGCTTATTTGCTTTTGCCTAACAGAAAGCAAGTAGCAGAAATAAACAGAATTATAACTCTTTGGATTAAAGGCATATCATGGATGCTTTTCAGATATTTTAACTTTCAGCAATCAACAGAATTTGCAAGTTTTCAAGTCCTAGTCATCAAAAGATATGCTAAATGCTCACTTAATAACAGTTTGGATAAGGCTTCTTACATTCAACTCGATGTGAACAATATATGAAAGAAATAAGATACAGTCTATACTTAAGGATAGAAGGAACATTTTTTCCAGTCAGGCTCTAAATTCTGGCAACACAAGTATGAAAGCTTGGCCTTCAGAATGGAAACCTTACTTAAAGGCCTGTGCAAAAATTAAAGGCAAAGTTCTATATACTTCTAACTGGCCCTGAAACAGTAACGAAATCAGAATCAAAGAAATTAAAAGAAATAAACTCTCAGTCAAAAAAATTCTAGAACTTTTAAAAGAATTTTTTCTTTCACTGACTCTGTCACAAACTCCTTTACAGGCACTACAACATATCTGGCTCTCTTTAAAGTCTGTTTGTAACAAGAAAAAAGATGTTTTTTGGTGCCTCTTTTATAGAGCACTTCTGCTAAGATATCAATTAAGACACATTGGATCATCAGAAACAGGAAGCTGTACTTGGTGCCCAAATAAAGTACAAACTATAGAACACTTTGCTTTAGATTGTCCTCAAAGCATAATAATTTGGAAGAAAGCATATAGTTTTCTTAATATTAACGAAGAAATACCTATACCAGCTTTATTAGATGATATCTTTTAAGCTTCTAATAATACTTATCCTCAAGCTTTAGCAGCTCTGACCTGGTTACATATTATCACAATTTATGAAATATAGTATTGATACCCTTCTGTAAATTGGAGAAATTTAGATACATCTCTTAATTCCCTAAACTCTCTCATTAGAAATTGTATTTCAAAAGAAATATGAATTCTAAAAAACAAACTTTTTAGTTTTAGATTTAAATCTTTTAAACTAATATATAAATATTTAAAAAGTAACTAAGTCACAAATAATACTTTTAATAAAAGTGTGCTACTTGCACTCCTAGTTGTTGAGACAACAGGGATATTCAAAAAAAAAAAATGCATAAAAAGCGATTTAAAAATGAAATTAAAAATAATATAGAATCATTATTAACAGCAACAGCTAATAAAGTTAAATTAATTTTCAATAAATTATCATTAAATGAGAATCTTACAGGTACTAAATTCTATATATTTATTATTATAATAAAAATTTTTAATAAAAAAATTTAATTAAAAATAATTTATTAAATAGACTGGGTTTAATATTATTAAAAACTATATGTTATTGTATCTCTTAATCCATTTATATTAAAAATTTCTATGAATTGTTGGTATGTGACACCTAATAATACAAATAGTGCTGAGTCAGCATATGCTATGAGCAATCATGAAGGAAAGCAACTAAAATTAATAACAGCTATATTGAGATTTTATTTCTATAACAATTTATTTTATTTTTATATATAATATAAGTTTTAATTTTTTATTTTTCAGAGGTCAAAAATTAAATATGCACAATTTTAAAAGAATCGAAATAAAAAAGAACTTTACTATTAGTTTAAATGATCATGATAAAAGTGGTATTGCATAAAGAAAATTAGCTATTAAACAAAATAGTTAGTATATTTTTATTTAAAATATTTATTATAATAACTTATATATTTATATCTATATTAATATTTTAATAGTAAAACAACAATCTAAGAAAGTTTCTTTAACAAAAAAGCATCAACAATCACATCTACAAACAAGTAATAAAAAACTACACAAGTTATTAAAAGTTGAAGAAATTAACTAATGATAATGTTTGTATAAACAAAGAATCTTCAATGACAGTGATGGAAAAGTTGAAATATAATGAATGCAAACTACTACTTGTAGAGCAGAAAGAAAAATTAAGAGAGTTGCAAATAGCTAATGCTATTAAAAAGCAAGAATATGATCTTGTAAAATAATTATTATATTTAAAATTTGCTTTTTTATATTTGCCTTTTTTATATTTGCTGTTTTATATTTCATATATTAATTGAACATAGCTACAATAAATAAAATGTTGTTATAAAAAAAAAATATCCAAGTTAACATTAATTATAAATTACTATAAGACTTTAAATTTTATAATTATATGAATAAAGTAGATATATTTAACATAAAATGAACTTGGCTTGACTTACTATTTACTTTAAAATTTTGGTATGATGAACTATTTTATGACAAATAAGGATTCAATAGTATTATTAATAATAAATCCTTATTTGTTATATAGAATGATTCATTACTTCTATGTCGCAAATTGCAAATTAATTTTTTGACATCTATTTTACAAAATATACATATATATTCTAGTATACAAATAAGTATAACCAACTTATATTCTATTATATACATATATATAATAGACATTTTTTTATTTTTGTTACAATATGCTACTCTTTTTATAGTTTAGACTATACTACTTTCTGCATTACCTCAAATATAACTTATATATATACTTTATACTACTAAAAATTATAAACTCAAGAATAAAATAGTTCTAAGATTGAGACAAAAACTTGGACATAACTTAATAATATTAATACAGATTGCAGATTTAAATGTTTTAAAATAAAACACTTAAGCAAAGATGTTAGATATAACAATTAATAAAGAATCTTCAGATAAACTTCTTAAATAAGTAATATAGAAAAGTTACATATGCAACCAATTATATACTCTTGTTGTAATAGTTTATAAAATTATATTACTAAAAAAGTTATTAATAAAAGTCTAAAAACCAAAGAGATTATCTTAATACTAAAAAAAACAACTCTAAAAACTATAAAATAATGTCTTCAAACTAATCAGTATTTTATACTAATTTTTTATATTTAAATCAAAATTTTTTCTATATAATTTTTTTAAATAATTTAAATAAATAAAAAAAATAATAGAACTATTTTTATTTAGTATAATTTATAAATTAAAAACTTAATACAGACCTATAATTATAATTATTTAATAGTTATAAGATACATGCAAGTTTTGTATTTTTTATTTATTTATTTTTTCTTCTTTTATTTCTTATTTGTATTTTTTATTATTTATCTTTATATCTCTGTTATTTTTTTTTTATATAAGTTTTTTTTGTTTTCTTTACTTTTTTACAAAAAAATATTATCAAGTTGATAATACATATTTTATTGTAAGGCAGTAATCAGATGTGCCTTCAGGCTATCCTTATTTCTTAAAAAATTTGATGACCAGTGCAAACAAATTGCTTGTAGGTACTTATAGAAATAACTGTAAGATATCATTTCAATACATTAAGTTTTAGAAATGTTTAAGTATAAGTGCATGGTATTTTAATAAAGAATAACAGCAAAACTGTCAACATTAAGAAAAAAAATAGTAATAAATGACAATTTTTTAAAAACAAATAAAATTTAAACCTTTATATTTGATCTTATACTTTAAAACTATATACTTTAAAGACAAGAATAATAATCACCACTAGTTATATATTATTTTAAAATTTATCAAATATTTTCAAATAAAAAACTTTTTTTAACAATATTCATGTTTGAAAAAATAGGTGTTTTCTAAGAATGCCAAGCTTTAAACACTGGTTATAATACGCGACGATTAATCAACCTTCTTTTTTAACCATATCACTAGGTGTTCCTACGAAACAAGAAAATCAATATAATCAATTCAAATATAGATTTGTATCGAGTGCACTTTTAAGCTTGTGAAAACGATTGCTATACAATGACATCTCATTTATGAAAGATAATGTTTAAGGAATAAGTAAAAATCGGCACTTTCATTAAATTACAATATACATCAATTACGTATATACAATCATACCTCTCTCTAAGAACGCTTATAAAGGTATGGTCGTATATATGAATCTATTTATTTATTATTATTATTTTTTTTATGTGGCAGTAATTTCAATAATACCAAACAACTATGAAATATTGTAAATTATTTACTATTTGTCTCTTGTCGACTTGAGAAATACATAGTAGGGTCAAAATGTTCAGAATAACTTTGATCATTTGCGGTCTCATTATGCCATGAGGTTTTTGACCAACTTTGCGACGCTGGAAAAAGTCCTGAAGAGTTTTTCGTAACTGCCGATAAAACAGAAGGGTGTTGTGGTAAAGTCGGAGAGTCAATAATATCAAGACATTTTGATGATAAACTGCTATCTGATTCATAAATTTTATCTATATTATCATCCCAACCAAACATTGACATTGACATTGACGTTTCGGTGCTTGAGCTAAATGTATTGGACGTTGTTTCCGAACTATATGACAAAGGTTGAGTTCTTGAAAGCAGTGATGATTTTCTCTGTGGTTTTGATTGCGTCAGTTTTGAATGAGATAAAATTTCGACAGTTTTTGATTGGAATATTGGAAGATCTTCCTTGGGATTCATAACGCTGGAACCCCGAAAATGCGAGGAACTAGTCTTATTTCTGATGTGAGCTGTCGTCAATTTAGTGAGAGCAGGTGGTCGGTTATGCTTGCTTGATAAATGGGTATCCGTTGGAATTGGCGGTAAAGCAGTTGTTGGAGGAGGTTTCATTCCGCTGGCCAGTGATGATGAAAGTTCCAATAAAACGCTATCGAAATGGCGGTTTGGAGAAAATTGTGGATCAATACGATGTTCTGGAACGTCATTTTTCGTTACGTATTCAGAGATAGAATTATTGCTAATTTGATATTTCTGCGCATCTCCATTTCTTTTAGTCCGTCTATCGTCCTCTTCAAGGGCAAGTCCTAGTCTTTTAATTTCCTTGTTTTCCTTGCCACGTTTTAGTCGACGATAGTAGACCCAAAACCCGATTCCAATTATTATTATGAGAATAATCACAACAATTGGCACTAGAATTACCAGTGTATTATTAGAATCATGCGATTGTTCTAATTCACCTGTTAAAGTTGTTGGAATAGAAGGCCGAGCAACCAGGTATGTGGGTGTAATGATAGGTATTTCTAATGAAACCGCTAAATCTTTCAAGACCGAATTTTTATCAATTTTACGTTTATGATTATACATTATAAATATTGTGTTTCAAAGTGCTATAGCACTTTCGATCTATTTTGAATGAAATTATTTATTAGCGACTTGGTTATTATTTTGTAATTCATTGGATGAATTCTAGAAAATGAAAGTTACGTGGATTAATAAAGATTATGATCAAAGACAGAAAGACATCCAATCTTTTTTAAAGTAGCCTTAAATCGGATGAGATATAAAACTTCAACTGAAGGCATTTATTCGAAAGTCAGCTGTGGATGCTGGCAACAGAAGAAGAAAAATAAAAGAAAATTGTTTTTCCTTTTTTTTTTTGTCCTGCAAAAAAAAAAAAAGAGCTCATGCCTTTTAGGAAAGCTAAAAGAATCTTGAAATATACTAAATTTCAATTTATTGTTCTGATTTCGAGCAACGGGAACGACGTTTTCTACATATTACTTTAGGAACACAACGAAAATCCACTTCGGGCCAGTTATCTTTTATAGCATGGCTCGGATAATCAAATAATCCCTATGGCTAGGCATTCTTTTGCGGTTAAATCATGAATTACATTCTATATAAATATCAATATATATAATACATATACTGAAACAGTAAAAACGGAAAACTTTGACACTTTTATTTTAATTTCGAGACAAGTAGTAAATAATGCTCTTGGCATTGTTTATCCTTGATTTACGAAACTTTTTAAATTTGACAGTCTTTATAGCAAATAGTTGTTAGGTGTACAACTATATATCTACAATATTGTCTCAGTAGAATTTTAAATCTCAGTTTTCTAGCAATGTTCAAAAAAAAGTTTTACAGTAATACGTAGCAAGGGGGTTACATAGTGTGTTATATCGGTAGTGCAGTATACGTGTGTAGAAAATTTCAATAAGGATTTTTTGCCGATCATCATCCTTAATACACCCAAACTACTGACCTATGCAAACAAAATTATATTTACTGAATTTCTCTCAGAGCGCTCTTTAAAGTAAATACGTAGACTTTTTTTTTATCCTCATATAAAACAAAAACCTTTTGCTAAAACCTAATTGACTTTTTATAGATATATTTTTATCTGCATAGAATCAGTATTTCGGAAATTATTGTTTATAACCCGCAGTGTTTGTTATTAAACGCTAATGGGATACAATTGAACGTAAATAGTTACACGAATATTTATACGTATAATTTTAGAGTACTTATATGAAAACGTAATCGCTTATATAACAAGTGGCTTAGCATGTTTCCCACGGTCAAATAATTCGTATTACTAGCGAATTTAATCAGATACATATTGTCGCATTTTTGCTAATAGGATAATAGTATATGGGTGAGTACACAGCAAAACCATGCTTAGAGTATATATATTTTATATTGATTTTGCGTGTACTAGTGATGCCGATAATACTCTTGACAAAACCTGAACTAGCTACGTGATAGGTTTATATTTTTAACACTTTCGATTAAACCGTAAAAATAAACTGATAAAACTTTATACGTATGCTTGCAATAAACAATAAACTAAAAACTGTATTGTTTTTATATTTAATTAAATTAGCAATTACATTGTATAATATTTTTTAAAGCTAATTATTGACAGCCTCATTTTTTAAGACCTCATCAACAATATCCAATGCTTCAAAAGTTCATATTTCACGGTCTTTGCTTGATGCTGGTCTAGATTGCAATTGAAAAATTCATAATATGATTCTATGTTATTAAAATTAAAAAAAAAACAAAATAAGGTCTGCTATATCTTCAATATTAAGCCTTGTCTCAAGAGTTATAAATGTATCTAAATTCATCAAAGTAATAAAATTGAAAATATTTTGATTTATAATATAAGAGTTACATATATTATTATTAAATATATCATTTGTGTTAAATATATCTTGTAAGAATAAATCAATTACATCTCTTCTACTAATTACTTGTACACAAATTTGTAAAAAAATATTTTAGAAGTTTACCAAAAAATGACTATCTAAGTTAATTTTACAGATTAAAAAAAAAGATAAAGTTTGTAAAAAAGGTAACAAAAAAAAAAAAGAAAAAATTAAATAACTTAGTAAAAGAAATAAAGAAGAAAAACTTTTTAATCAACATTTTGCAAAGTAAAACTTGGAGAATTTTCTGTAATCTGAAAATGTAAATCTGTAGATTATAACAATATATAAATAGAAATATGGCAATCTAGTAAAGTGGATAGGTTGTCAACCTTCAAATGGCAGATCTAGAGTTCAAATCCTAGTAATGATGAAAATTTGTAATTCTTTCTATGTTATGACTAACTGTTTTCCATGATTGGTTGAGATAAGATACCTGTAACCTGTATCATACTAGCATGACTAAAAGATCTAGGCACTCATACAACATTGTACGAAGAAACACAAATTGGTACTGGGCAGTGTGAACTCAAGATAAGTTCTTAGATTATGTAAATTACAGAAACCAGATAAGAAAACAGAAACCTACTTGGAAGACTCAAGTAGAAAAATAACCCAACCTTCGATGATGCTATTGTAAAGATTAAACTTATGAAACAAAGTTAGAACTTATGAAACTGGACAAATATGCTAGTCTTTAAGGAAGAACCAAATGAACCAACTAGGTCATTAGAATTTCTAGGTTTCAAAGGAAAAAGATACATGCTGGCAAATATAAACCAGAGGTATAGTCTCGCTTTACCTTTTTAGACTATCTAAAATAGCAGCTTGGTGAAACTTGAATTGAATATTAAAGTAGTAGGGATATATTATAAAGTCAGTATTAGAGTTAGGGTGAACTCTACAAAGGTATAGCAATTTAATGATATGCTCTAACTGCCAGTGTTAGTCTCAACTATAGCAATACTAGGTCAGCTGTAAGAATGAGATACAGAAGATTCTGAAAGGTTTAATATAGTAGTTAGATCTGGTCATCTGTTTATTCAAATATAACTAGATAAAACACTTAATTCAGATAATTTATCTGATCCATAAATTAATAATTGTTAATCCGAATTAACTGGATTTATCTGATAATATCTGGTAGCATTTAATGATAATTGTAGTAGAATATTTTAGTTATAGTAAAATCCTGAATACTTAAATCTGGTTCGAAATTAAACTTATTTATTATTATTATAATTGTTATGATTGTTAAGAATAATATCTATAATTACTTTTTGATTTCTTTTGAATTAAATAGCTTTGGTTAGAAATTAAACTTATTTATCATTATCATTATTGTTATGATCATTATGATCACTAAAAAAAATATATCTATCAGTAGGGTTCCTTAAAATCAAATCAAATCAAATATTGGATCGATTTGAATTTGATCAAATCAAATATTTCCTTGATTTGATTTGATTTGA